GAAGAGCCCAGTGCCCTCCCTCCCAGGTTGTGCGCAGCGGTGGGAGCTGCCCCCCCAATGAGCTGATTCTGTCCCATACCCCACGCCGCCTGGGAAGCACCTGCCCCTGTCTCCTCCCTCACTGCATGGGGAGAGGGTTGATATGCCCCCTCCCTCCCCCGGCCCCTTCCACCACAACTAGCTGGAGGCAGCTCTCCATGCTGTATCAGAAATCAGATCAGCATCGGTCAATATGCCCTCCTTAAAAATCAGATATCGGTCCCAAAAATCTCTATCGATGTACCCCTAGTTGTTCAGTCTCCATACAGAACTGATGTTTGGCTCAGTGCTAAGACTTCTAACAAGTAACATATCATAACTAAGTAAATCTCTGATGGTAGTGATATAAGCATATGGCAGTGAAGAAATGGATTGAGACTACTAGCTTACTGTGAACAATCTACTGATTAGTCACTAAATAATATCAATGACATTATTCCATAAAATATTTGGGGGGGGGGGGGGAACTCCAGCCAAATTATTCAAACTCGGTGATTTAAGTTGTATAAAATGTTATTTTTTACTACACGTAAAAACTCTAAAGAGTTTCTAACATTTTTAAGGTCTTTCCTCAAGGCGTGGAATACTTCAGTTACAACAGGGCAAGGATGAGTGAGGCCATAACCTCTTCACCCCTTCCTGCCCAAAGCAGAGTTTGTATACAGTGCCACAAACATCTCTTTCAGTTGGATGTCATGAAAACTTCAAAATAAGATTTCTGTTTCTCACCATCTCTTCTACACAGAGTAAGTTTTGGTTTTCCAACTCAGCTTGGACACAAATATCTCTTCCTCTGAGTTCTTTACCTTGCTCTGATAATGCTCTGGAGGGCTAACTGGTCAAGGCTCTATTATTTTTCTAAGTCTGTATTTGTTCTGCTGAGCTAGCTGACCCTAACAACATTAGTTTTTGCCAAGGATATCATCAATAATTTTTCCATGCATAGTGCTTTAGTCCTACCTTCTTATTGGTTAGTGAGAAACAGAAAGCATTTCTTCTGAAGAGCCATCACCTAGAAATGGAGAAATGTGGTCTTACCCATGTCATTACTAACACTTGTAGTCACTACTGAAAATGGTATAATGTGTGTAGGTCCTTGACAGAAGATTCTAAGAAATCCTCATTTCTTTATTCAAGTTAAAAAAAAAAAAAAAAAAGCAAAAAAAAGCTGAAGTGGTAGGATCTCTGCTGTACAACTGGTAAGGATTTGACCATCCTGTTACTTAGTCGACACAATAATTGAAAAATTAGAACTTTAGTCCATGATTTTTGATAACTTTGCATTTTGGAGATATTTTGTCAAGTTTTAAACCTTTTCAAGCAAGATGATCACTGATACAATCTTGATATATCCAGACCTACGTATTTTGGTAAACTGACAACTTGGGATGAGTTGCTCAGAATGAACAGCAGAAGCTGCTAACACTTTTTGGGTAGTTAAGGCACAGTGGTTAACCCCTTCCCCCCTACCCCAGGACATGGGGGCATCCACAAAAGGAGGGGAAATTTCAACTTTATCTCAGTTGAAAAAAAACCTAGCCCTCCAAGTTACCCCTCATATTTGCTGCAGATTCTAACCAAACTCAATCTATGTTCCAAAAGGACACCAAGTTTCTCTGTAGTCTGAACTGGCTGTGAATGGACTGTGCCTACAGAGCCAGCCAAAAGTAACAAAGCTTTTTAGTTTGGTTTGGGGGGTTTTTAGGTCATTTCTGGGGGAAAAAAGGGGGATAGAATGATATTTGCCTCAAAACTACTCAGAAATCATAATATTTTTTTCAGGTCAGTAAGTTTTCAAAAAAGGGGGGAAAATCTTGAAGGCCATGAAAACTCCCTGACAAAAATTAGTTTGGAACCTTTTCATAATCCCTTTTATTAAAAGGGAAATCTACAGTCTACTGTCTGGACAGGCTCCGAGTCAAAGAACACAGAAGCATTCTTCCTCAAGGCTCTGCTTCCGACAAGGCCAAGATCTGCTCAGTTTCCAGTTGTTAGATGAAGACTGACAAGGAGCGGGTAGAAACCATAACCTCATATAAGACAT